TCACTTCAACCAACCGGGCCACAATTTCAACCAAGCAAAGCTTTATGTTTTACAAATTTCTGCTTACCATGAGAGGGGAAATACATGGAATATATTTGATACACAAATGTAAGCACCTACACCGATCACGAATCAATGTAGCACGTCGCAATTCGGAATCGCTGAAAGCCATAGCATAATTACGACAGCATTTAGAAACGAGAAAGGTTCAACCTTCAAATAGACATAACCGGTATTACGTGGAATCGCTCCTAGACTACAATTTGTTTTATTGATGTTCTCTCAAAATTCTTTAAATTATAAATATAGATATACATGTGTCTGACACATGTATATAGATATAGATATACATGTGTCTGACATTGCATTGCTGAGTAACTCAGGGGACGAATTGCAACTCATGATTACGGTTGTTACATTAGGCCCTTTACTCTTTCTTATATATATTAATGATCTCCCAGACAGCATTAACTCCGCTATAGGGTTATTTGCAGATGATTGTGTAATTTACCGCGAAATAAACAATGAATATGATAACCAATTTCTACAGTCAGACCTTGACACTGTCTCAACCTGGTGCAATAAATGGCTTATGACTCTCAACTCTAACAAATCTAAATGCATGTCAATAACGCGGCGATCTATTTCTCCCCCCTGTACCTACAGAATTAACGCCGTTCCCCTCCAGCATGTCTCTTCATATAAGTACCTCGGCGTTTACATTACCAACAATCTATCTTGGCACACGCATGTTACCTACATCTGTAATAACGCTAACCGAACGCTAGGATACTTACGCCGCAACTTTTCTCGCGCTCCGCTGTCCCTCAAAATTCTATTATACCGATCACTAATTCGCCCAAAGCTTGAGTACGCGTCCGCTATATGGGATCCCGTGCAGCAAAATTTAATTAACGCGTTATAATCTGTTCAGAACCGCTCAGTTCGGTTCATTTGTTCTAATTATTCCCGTACTGCTAGCATATCAGAAATGAAACTAACCTTGACCTACCCAATTTAACTGTCCGGAGGAAACTGGCGCGACTGCATTTTTTTCATAAGATATTTTTTCACAATCCATCAATGAAGCGAGACCTCATTGCACAACCGTCATACCACTCATCGCGCATTGATCATCAGCATAAGGTTGCCATTCCGTTTTGCCGCACCAAATTCTTTTCAGCAGCCTTCTTACCGAAAACAGCCGCCGATTGGAACCACCTTCCCTCTTCCGTTGTATCAATAACAGACCCTTTGTTATTCAAGACTGCAATTTCTCAGCAATGCTTGTAACTATACGCAGTTTCCATTATCTATCTTTGTCTTGTATGTGCTTGAATTCTTATACATTTTTAGTTGACTTATGTTGCCTTCCTGATTTGCGCATCTGATACTTGTTTCTTTATTTTGTCTTTTTTTCTTGTGTGTTATATATGTTGTACCCACCCCCTCTGTAATGCCCTACGGGCCCTGAGGGTATTCTAATAAATAAATAAATACGGAGTTAGACAAGGAGAGCAGAAAGGTGGGTCTTAAAATTAATCTGCAGAAAACGAAAGTAATGTACAACAACCTCGGAAAGAAGCAGCGCTTCGAGATATGTAATAGTGTACTTGAAGTTGTAAAAGACTATGTCTACTTAGGGCAGGTAATAACCGCAGAGCCTAACCACAAGATTGAAGTAACTAGAAGAATAAGAATGGGGTGGAGCACATTCAGCAAGCACTCTCAAATTATGACAGGTAGATTGCCACTATCCCTCAAGAGGAAGTTATATAACAGCTGTATCTTGCCGGTACTTAGCTATGGAGCAGAAACCTGGAGACTTACAAAGAGGGTTCAGCTTAAATTGAGGCTGACGCAGCGAGCAATGGAAAGAAAAATGGTAGGTGTAACCTTAAGAGACAAGAAGAGAGCAGAGTGGATTAGGGGACAAACGGGGATTAAAGATATCATAGCTGAAATAAAGAAGAGGAAATGGACATGGGCCGGGCATGTAACGCGTAGACAGGATAACCGCTGGTCATTAAGGGTAACTAACTGGATTCCCAGAGAAGGGAAGCGGGTTAGGGGGAGAAAGAAGGTTAGGGGCGCAGACGAGATTAAGAAGTTTGCGGGTATAAATTGGCAGCAGCAAGCACAGGACCGGGTTAACTGGCGGAACATGGGAGAGGCCTTTGTCCTGCAGTGGACGTAGTCAGGCTGATGATGATGATGATGATATACACACAACTACGAAGTTTTTATTTTCCAGAACCTTTCAACCACAACTTTCTTTCTTCTTTTGTCTCTTCAAAAAACACTCCTACTGTACACAATTAAGTCACTGCCAAGCCACAAACTTCTCTGCGTCTCTTTTTTTCCTTTCCTTGTCTGTTAACCCTAGCGTGTCACCTACCACCAATCCACCTTTTTTTCTTTTTTTCTTTTCTTTTGTGTTTCTCTCGTTGTTGCTTATTCCCTTTGCATTCCGAAATTGCTTATTTCTCTGCCTACATGCCGCCAAATTCTTGAGGCAGTTCCGTTGAGCGGGACGCCTACGGGGATAGTGAAAGCATATTTTAACCAATGACCTTCCCCAATAAACACGTGGTCTTCCGAACACATCTGGTGTCGCTTACCTTTGACATCTTGGCATTTAAAAGTAGCCGCCTGCTTCTCTCTTGCGCCTTTTTGTAACCTCTTTCTTATGAGTCTTATTCATAGATGTTCGAGAACAGCATAGGCCTTTATCGTCGGCAGCCCTTTGTGATGGCCAAACGCGGGGACCGTATGCTGGCTTCGAACTTTCAAGCTCTTCGCTTTTTTGTGTCTGTAGCGGCAGCACACCGCTCCTACTTTGCGTGTTTTCTCTTTTTTGCTTCCCTTTTTTTTCTCTATCCTCCGAGAACATTGTGAATTGCTACCAGACAACTTGAAGTGAAGTGAGGACTACACTTGTTTGCTTTCTAATTTTTTTTTCTTTTCCGACGGCAATTGCCAACAAGGACACGCACCACCACCAGTAGATGACGTCTCTACTAACCCTCTTAAAGCTAGCATGCAACGGATGAGAAGGAAAGGCACTTTTGACGAACATAAGTCCTCCTATCAAAACGTCAGCCAGCCTATCTGAGGAACTTCCACTGTTCACCCAGACTATCCCACTCTTCACAACAGTTTTTTGATCCTAAGACAGTTTTCAAGGCACTCGAAACACTATGGGCTGTTTATATAAGCTCTGCACACACAATTTAGCCATCTGATGTACAATATGCAAAGTATAACAGAGTGACTTGTTGGGCTTTACACTTTTACAGAGTATAAAAAAAAATTCGTAACTTCATATCTAACTCAGAATACATCCAACAATTATTACCTCTTGCAAAAAATTAGGAATGTAATAAACACCATCACACACTTCGCAGAGCTGCTCAGAAATGCATCTTGACAAAATACTTAAATATTGCAGTAAATTATGAATGCCAAAACACAACACCAGTGCACTAGTAGAGATGCCTGGTTGGCACCAAACTGCTGTACTTAAGATGCATCATGGTAGCAAGACCACAGCCCACAACTAATATACGCTTCAAGTAACCCTTGACTGCTAAACTGAAGGCCGCAAAATCAACCATGGCTGTGGTGGCTGCAATTTCGATTAAGGAGAAAATGCTTGACACCTGTCTGCTTAGACGTGGATGCATTGAAAGAACCCCAGGTGGTCAAAATATCTGAAACCCTCCACTCCAGTGTCCCTGATAATTATATCGTGGTTTTAACACGTTAACCTCAGTAAATATTACTCTCATTACACTTGACATGAAATAAAGCAAGCAGATATTACTATGTAGTTGAAAAAATTCACCATTAAACCCCCCCCCCCCCGATCCAGGGACTCACGTTACAATATTCTAGTATGCCTTCTATCAGTTATCATTAACAATGTTAAACATGAGTATGTTTCAGTGTAAAATATCCGAAATGCTTTGCTATTGGCAAAGTTAGGTATGATGAAGTATGATAGTAGGAAAACACTTGATTGAACTAATGAACTTCCCAAAGGCACTGAAATAACAAGGTAACAAAAATATAATAGAATATTCAGTGAAGGTTACACTGAAGAGAAAATCATTATTGTGCTACTTTTTATCACAACACAAAAAGTGTTTTTATGTGGCCAATTGCGCATAAGGCGTCAATTAACATGACATGCGAGTCTGGCGAGCAACTCACTCAGTAGATCTTGAAAAAACAAAATATCCACTAAAGAGCTCAGTAAGTAGCACTGACACATTCATAAAGCGCTGCCAAGTTACATTGAATTTTAGCCTTAAGAACAGAAAAACACCTTGGCAGATTGTGTCCAGGGGGACACAAAGTAATAAAATAATGCTGTCATCTGCCCAATAAACCAAAAATATTGAAATTTTAGTAACACAAATAAGCAGGTATGTTTGCATTAAAAAGTTGAAGGCAGTCGTGTTTCTACACAGTCCCACTTGGAAAACTTTTTTGATTATGTTTATGCTCCTAGATATTCCGTTTGAAAGTAATTTTGCTTTTCATGATTACGCATGCAAGGCAGTGAGGTTCAGCAAAGTATCGCTCCATAGCGGAACGAGCAGTCGTTTCTTGCTATCGCCAGCGAATAGCAAGAGTAACCATTTTAATGTTTGCCCATGCCATCCACCCACGGTCAGATTAAATGCATGAAATCAGAGAGTCTGTGCTAGTGCTCACTGTCCTGCACACATAATAATGTAAGCCGCAACTAAATTTCCAACAGGATATCTGAGCACAGGCATGCTAGAATTCTTACAAATGATATTATGTAGAAACGTGACTGGCTCAATTTTTAACACATACATGATCTCCTGCTGCAGTCACTGTTAGGTTGATTAATAAAACTTAATGGCATCACTGACAGTGATAATTATTGTCTCACATTGCATCCTCCTGGATACCTAGCTATCAGCAGAGGTGGCTTTTACATACATAACTTACAGCGCTGACTTCTCTTTTAAGGAAAAACAAAAGGGTTAACTTTGAACACCCTAAACCTTTGTGCTCCTTTAATACAGCTACCAGGTGGCTCTCTGCAGCTCGCTTTTCAGAAGAAACAGAAGCCATGCGCTGCTGATGTGCACCAGCAGTCAAATTTTCCACGAGCCAGCCTTGACGATGGGCTAGTTCAGACGTCTCCCCCACTCTCTTCCTACGACGAGCATGTATAGGCTGCGAGAGAAACAAAAAAACAATTTACTGATGTGTCTGTTGGCGAAGCAGAATTTGAAACTCTATTTAGAATGAATTGGAACGTTGTGTTTTAAAAGAGTAGGATGTACGAAAACCAGACATGTTGCAACAAAAACATCCACAATGTTTTTGGCGAACATAGCTGCAACCTTACGAAAAAATATGCATTTTCCACATAACAGATGTGTAACAAAATATAATTGAATAGCGCTCTGGCATAGTGCATATACATGCCAATTCATTAATATGGCAGCGCGTACATGACGGTATGCGCTTTGATCAAGTATCCATTGGAGGTAACACAAAATTAAATTACGCAATTTAGTTTGAACACAACTAATGTAACTTTCTTCTGGCTGCCTACATTAGGACGATTATGCCGATAACATAGAAAATTGGTTTCACTAAGTTACTATTGTCAACTGTTAAATTATGGCTGTTAATTCAATGATTCCAGGTGGCTAAAAAGGCAGTGCCCCTCACTCATCCCTAACATACCCCTCATTACAGGCTGTCTAATAAATAATGGGAAAGAATGTGAAAATGCTAATACAATGCACCCATCTTGAGCTAAATACCATCCCAATAAAGCATGCAAGCTTCTGCAACAATCTCAGTAACAAGAATACTGGAAGGCATTGGTCACGATTTAGCAATACACAATAAACATTTGGTGAGACTGATTTCTGAAGTTGTGCAATTGCATCGATGCCAACAGGTTAAAAACATGAAGTCTATATTCATAATTGTCAGATGAACATACTGTCCAATTTTCAATTTTCACAGTAACATGTGCATGCCTTATGTATGCATTCTATGATGTATAACAGTATTGCATGTTATGAAAGTTAAATCATTCATTCGTTTCTCCAAACAATACAGATCCCTTCTATAACTGTAGCGCATGCTTATAGAATTTACTTCAGCTTGTCATCTGATGTGAAGACAATTAAAACAACATGCTGACCCCAAATGAAAGCATGACGTTTTGGCCCCCACACAGGAGCCCTATTCACAAATGACAAAGACTGTGCTTTTATTTGTGGGCAGTGTGTAGTTTTTTAATGTTTTCATGTGAGTTTCTGAGCAGACGGGCAAAAGCTTTTAATCCGTTATTAAATGGCGATGGAGGTGGTGGTCTAAACTGTCCTTACTGTTCGTACAAGTAAAAGTGCTTAGCAAAGTTTGAGCACAAAGTTTGGGAGAGGCACATACAATATTTAATAAACCGCCACAAAGTAATGAATTCTAAGCATAGCGAAAACAAGCTGGATAAAATAAATATGCTCTACCGCGTGAACTACTGATCAAATTAGGGCTCGCACAGTTAAGCTACAGTTATTCGGCCCCAATAAGCCATGAAAATTTTGTTCGGAAATACAGTTCAAGTTTAACGAACGGCTCAAAATTCATGGGTCCCGAACGCATCAGGCAACCTATGTTGCGGGTATATAACGTAAGCTCAGATTTGACTAAACGGGATACATAAACACCTAAGCGTACATACGTGCAAGCTTTGCGAGCCGTATCTAAGACGAGGCAGCATGCAGCACACGAACTCGAGTAACACGGTAGTTCGAAGATGCGTGCCGGCATGGATGCATACACCAGCATATGTTCGGCTACCCGCAGAAATTTCTGATAGCAGTTTAAAAAAAGGACGCACAACATATGAAACTGTTTTCAAACTGTTTTGGACGAACAACATATGAACACGTTGACTCCTGTAGCACACAATATGAACAGGCATGCAAAAAAAAATCCTCAAGTTAAGGGATCCAAACATATGCGCCTTAGGCGTAATCAACGCTTACAGCTAACAAACGCCGTCTTCGCCCAACAATTATTAAACCAAAATAGTGGTCCATCGCGAGCAGGGCCCCATGACATCGCTACTGGCGACAGAGGCGGGCGCCGTCACAACTCGCACAAACCCCCCGCCGAATTCCCACTGCGGACGCACGCGCCATGTGCTTCACACACCGAAGCATGCTTGAATCGAAAAAAAAAAGCTCGCCCACGCTTGACTTCCCACAAAAACGCCTTCATCCTGATAAAACGACACACACAAACAGGTTCGCTACGTTAAAAAACTCACTTATCGCCTACATGTAACGGAAAAACGTAGCATGGCGTCGTTATCACGCTCTCGGTGTTGACAAAGCGCAGACAGCAGGAATGTGGTACGTATGTACCTGGCGAGTGTTCCAAAATGCGACGCCACACGTCCTCGCTTGAGTAGAGTTCATCTTCGTAATAGGCAGCACCGGCAGAACAAAAAACACGAACGCAGCGCGCAAGCACACCCCAAAAACGAGAAAAATCGATGCAGAACCGACCAGCTGCGAGGCGACCGACCAGCGACGGCAGCGAGCAAACACGCCCGAACAAGTATCGTGGTTACAGCTCCGCAGACGTACAATGGTGCACTAAAATGCTTTGGTGATGCATTTAAGTATAAAAAGTAAACGAAAATATATATACCATAATAACTAAGAGAAAAAAGAATTTTATCTCCACGAACAAACAAAATTAACGTATAAATTTAGCGCGCGAAGTTTGAAACACTTGCAGGTACAATGCATTTTTAACAATTGAACAACAGTGGTAATAATCACCTAAAACACTCATGTTCTGGAATTCGGAATATACTATTGTTGACGCACACATTTACACACAAACTTTTATTGCAATGATTGATGGTGCCTATGCATAGGCGTGCCCACCACGGGGGTAGGGGGGCGGGGGCGGCCCTTGGTCACTTAGGGGGCAATGTAAATCCCTATAGGTACATGATGGAGAAATAGAGATGGGCACTGTAACTCGACGGGGGTTGGGGGTTGCAGTTCCCCCTGCTGATCACCTCATACACCGCCCCCTCAAAGGGATGTCAAACTGAAGAGATAGCAAATACAAATTTTACGGCGTGGGTCGCAGTGTCCCACAATATATATATATATATATATATATATATATATATATATATATATATATATATATATATATATATATATATATATATATATATATATATATATATATAAATATAAATATATATATATATATATATTATATATATGTGTGTGTGTGCGGGGGCGAGAGGCGTGTCGCTCCCTCCTCTCGTTGGCGCTGCGTGCACTGACCATGCCATTCTCTGACCTTTACTTCTTGAGCTAAAGAATCACTTCCCGTGCTCCGCATGGTTGCAGAAGGTATACTGTGGATTTTTTTCTTTTTTGACCAAGCACGTGTCGTCTTCGATAATCTTGTGAAAACGACTTGCACTCGAACGGCTTTTGACCGAGCAAGGGTTTTAGTAATAAATTCAAGCTTCTTTTCTCAATTGCTTCTGCATATTAATATGTGCTGTCCGTAGATCGCGACAGCCCATTCTTTCATTTACATATATTGTGGACGATATAAAGTGGCAAAGCATGTCGAATCCTACAGTGAGAGAAGAATATAGTCTCTTTTACAGTTTCTCAATTTTTCTTAGAGTGTTCTGTAAAAATTTGACAATGCCTCAATCATTTCCTTGATTTTTTTCATTTCTACGACAATGTTATCTTATATAGGAAAGGCATTCCTTGCGCTATGCGTGGTATTTTATTTGCAATCATGGATATTGCTTGCAATGGATGCAGTCGTATGCATGGCTTGCAAGCATGGATATTGCTTGCAATGGATACAGTACGGATGCAGTCGCAGGATCGAATCCCAGCAGTTCACGGCGGCCACATTTTTGGTGGACGAGAAATAGTGCGAAACCTGTGTAGTTAGACTTAGGTGCACCTTGAGTATAACCCCAGGTGGTTTAAATTTTCGGAGACCTTTGTTACGGCGTCTCTAATGATTATATGACAACTTTGGGATGTTAAACGAAACAATTTTTATTGCAACAATTATAGGTGTACACCCTTCTGTTCTTCAACACCCTCACAAACGGCATAATAACACCCTTATGTCCATTACACCCTTCTCTGAGGGTGTACCCACAAAACAAAGGGTGTTACATTCATTCAAAAAAGGTGTAAATTCGTAAAACACACTTTTCACACCCACAGGGTGTAAAATGTTACTGTGTAATGATGCAGACATAATTGAACACCTAGAAACATGTCTTACAAGTTTTGATGATGTAAATGTTAGCGTGCTTTGGACACTATTCAAACAATTGTGTCCTTTTTGTTTAGATAATTTTGTACCATTCAAGTGCAAAAAAGTTAACAAACAAACACCATGGATAAATCGCAACATCATTCATCTGAAGCGCAAAGTTAAGCGACCAAAAAAAGGCGGGCAACGGCTGATTTGATACATGATGCGCACTACGGTCTCGCTCAAACTGTCCGCAGCTCTAGGGAGTATTACTTTAAAACCTCATTACCTAACTTTATTGCAAATGACCCCAGTAAATCTCGAAGTTTTATCAGTGAAAAGAAAGGACCTGTATCCCAAATATCAATTGATGGAACCAACGTCATCGATCAGAGAGACATTGCCGGGCATTTTAATCAATATTTCCAGAGTGTGTTCAACACTTCTGATTTAAACTGTATATCTAATGCTACAGTCTTTCCTTATGCTGAAGCACTGTTTATTTTTTATCCAGACATAGTGTTTATAGTGCTAAATATAAAAACTAAGGCACCCTGTGGTCCTGATAATATACCAAACGTATTTCTACGACGATATGCTTTATCTATAGCAAAGTTTTTGGTTACGATTTTTCGCTGTTCTTTGTTATATTCCCTGCGGCCCAGTGACTGGAAGACAGCCCGCGTTGTACTTATCTTTAAAAAGGGGGACCGCTTAGCATTAGGAAATTACGGTCCAATCTCACTAACTTCACATTGTTGTAAAATTATTGAACACATCAGAGCTACTAGTATAAACAAGTGTATTGAAGAACGCTCTATATTAACCATGTATCAACATGGTTTTCGGGAAGGATTATCCACCATAACTCAACTCGTCACACTGTTTCACTCTCTTTCATTGAACATCGATAGACACGGTATAACAGATATGCTCTTCCTAGATTTCTGCAAAGCCTTCGATAAAGTTCCCTATAGTAAACTCATTTCCAAACTTAGAATAGGTATACCCGAAATATTCGTTTGTTGGATTTCTGCGTATTTAAATAATCGCGAACAGTACGTTGACGTAGGGGGCCAATATTCGGACTGTATTCCGGTCACATGGGGCGTACCACAGGGCAGTGTTTTAGGCCCTTGGCTTTTTCTATTGTATATCAATAATATTGTTAATGTTGTTCACCCTAGTTTGGAAATAAGATTGTTTGCAGATGATCGTGTTTTGTTCAAAGAAATACGTTCCACTGACAATTTCAACGATCTGAGCACTAGTCTTTGCAATATATATGAATGGTGCAACAAATGAGGAACGTGTCTAGACGCGAACAAATGTATGTGCCTTCCAGTGACTCGCCAAAAGAATCCACAATCGTATACATACATATTAGGGTCTTCACTACTGCAACAAGTAAACTCCTACAAATACCTTGGTGTGACACTCCCTTCCAACTTATCTTGGAATCTCCATATTGATAATGTTGATTCATCTGCCTTTCGTCAACTACGCCTACTTAAACATAAATTTCAAAGTGCTCCCACGAATGTTAAACTACTTTGTTACACAGCCCTTGTGCGGCCAAAGCTAGAGTACGTGAGCATAGTATGGGATCCTTATACAAAACGTAATATATACACTCTTGAGCGTATTCAAAGAAAAGCTGTTAGATTTATATTCAACAAGTACTCCAAGTTAGACTCACGCTCAGATTTAATGCTAGCCAACAACATTCCCTTACTGCAGGTGCGAAGACAAAAAGCTAGATTAGAATTCCTGGATCAACGTTTGAACAAAAAAATAGCTCTAGACCCAACCCCGTATTTGATACCCCTTAGTAGCCGGCCCACCCGACACCACCAACCAAAGGCCTTGATCCCATATTTTGCTCGCACAGACCTACTGAAGTATTCATACTTTTCAAGAACCATATGTCAATGGAACTGTCTTACTAATACATGGTGATGAATGAACTAACCTACCAAACAACTTTCTTTGCCCTTTATTGTTTCGTTTCACAATTATTTTATTTCTAAGTGTATTACCACCCTGCTTGAACCTCGAGTCTGCAGTATTGAATATATAAATAAAAATTAACTACAGAACAGGCATGGTACAGTGCAATGATGCAGTTGTTATAACACAGGATACTGTAACCAGTATGTAGGAGAGCACTGATTCCCCTCTCCAAAAACGTAAGGCTTTAGAGAACAACGACGATGGTACCAGCAAGAACAAGAAAACCAAGACTGCTAACATGTTGCACGAAGGTCAAGAGGAATCTGAAGAATGCGCATATTTACGAATAAGCAAAGTGTAAGAAGCTGTAAAAGTTGAAATTGAGGCGATAAACAACATTAGGGAAACTATGGGAGCGCAATGCAAAGAGTGGGGAACGGCAATTACGCAGAAAATACCAGAGTTTTGCAACACCAGCAGGTTCACCAACAGCAACTAGATAGCTTATCTACTAGGGTAACAGAACTTGAAAAATCCTCATCTGCTACATATCTACAAGCCAGTGGAGTAGCACCTTTTAAACCAATCATCAAACCTCCGCTACTAAAGCCGGGTATTTTAAACCCTGCGCCTCCTGATAAATAATTGCCGCCCTGGACAGACGCAACAAATACGTATTATGGCAATAGAATTGTAGAAGTTACGGAAACAAGAAAGCCATTCTACACCAGTACCTTAAAGATAAAGAAAAACCAGATATCATCACCTTACTGAAGACGCATGGCCTCGCTAAGTTGTCTGGCTACCGCTCAATCGGCAGTGCGAGGGGGAGACTAAAGCCCTTACAACTTTAGGGTGTAGGAATCACACGGCAGTGCAACACAGCACACAGGTTACCGATATAGAAAATATACTAACTGAAATCAAACCCACAAAAAAAACAGGGGACAGTGTGTTCATCCTAAACATGTACAGTGACCCGAAATTCACACAGCACAGATTTTCAACTCTCTTCAAGCGCACGCTTACCATAGCGGGTGACCAAGTTGTAATAATTTGAGGGGACTTTTATGCCCCTCATTGTACATGGGGTTATAAACACGTCCACCCAATGGGTAAGAATCTCTGGCTGTATTCGCATCAGGAAGGCTTAACACTCATAACTGACCCCACAGTACACATTAGGCAAGGAAATAGTATCTGTGGTGATACCACGCCCGACCTTACTTTTATAAAGAACAGGCAATCTGCGTGGTGGCTG